TGTCCCAACTTTTTTGGGATTTGTTGACGCCATGAAATTTGGAAACAACAGATTTTTCCCTTAAAATGATACATTCTCTCAGTTTAAACTTTTGATCTGTGATTTGTGTTCTATTCTGAATAAAATATTAGACGTTGGCACCTCCACATCATTGCATAAAGTTTTTATTCACAATTTGTTTAGTGTCCCAACTTTTTTGGAATCCGGTTTGTACACTGTGTTCATACATATACACATTGTATTTAATATACATAATATTCGAACACTGCAACACTGTCAGACTACATTTATCAATTTGTTTTGATTTTGTTTCCCTCTTTACTCTCGTGTGAATAAAGCATTGGGAAAGTATGACAAAAAATATTCCATAAAACAAATTGATCTTTTGGGTATTACTTTCTACATTTGAATCATTTCTTCTGTTAAATCATTTCTTTCTTCAGGACGGCCTGCACACATGTACGACAAGTCTAATCCAGACTGGGCTCCTACACTGAAGTTGGGAGGCAGACTTACTCGGAGCAAGTCGGCAATGGAACGTCAACGACTGGAGTCAAAGCAGAGCAGGTAGAAAAGTTAATGACACATGCAAGCTGCACAATAATTCTAAAATATTAAAGTAAATATAAGATAAAAATGACTAAAATCAATATAAAATTGAATCTAGATCTTTTTGGAATAGTACAAATTTTGGTAGCTAATCTGTTTATTCTGCTTTGAGTAGCAAACTTGGAGTCTGACTTTAGACAATGTGACACAAACATGACCGTGTTTACTAATGATTGTCTGTTTTTTGTTTTTTTTCCACAGGTACAGACGAGCTAAGAGCCGTGCTCGAACCAAAAAAAAGCTCCAGGGTTCACAGACTTCCCTAGACTCGGGTACAGTCTTGGATCCTGAGGTTTGGACTGCTCCAGTCGACGCACAAGAGGACGATGATCATGCAGAACCTGCTCCTGTTTCTGAAAGTCAGCTTCATTCTGAACTGCAGAGATTAAGAACAGAACAGATTCTGTTAAAAGATCAGATAAATGATTTGAAGTTCAATGAAAAAAGCTTTGAGAATAATAACCTTAAAGTCACGTACTACACTGGCCTTCCATCATTCCTCATGTTGATGACTGTATTTGATCTGGTGAAGTCATTTATTTTACACTTGATTTGTACAGGAGTGGCATCTGAAGATTTCGACAGTCCCGACTTTGTCCCGTCCATCTTCTCCTACTCCACAAAGTCCGGCAAAAACATCAATGGAAAATTGGCGCGGTAAATAGAGGGATTACTGACTTGAATCGAGGATGTAATAAACCTGTGTTTAACTAAGTAAATGCTTTCTTTGTTCCTAATGATTGCTCTTTTCTGTGTATCTCAGCTACAAGAGAAAAAGACGAAGGGATGAAACCCCCAGCAGATGTCCAAACAATGGACGTGTGTCCACACCCACTGTCCTCTCTCCAAATGATGGTGGAATGGAACCTGGTGCTGATATTTGTCCTGGTAAAAACTCTTAAAACTTCAGTATTTGAACCCACTTGGACTTTGATAAAGGAAAGTACTTATGTTTAAATCAAGACTATAAGCCTCGTAGCTCATGACTTTTCGTAAGTTTGTGTTTCTATGCATTTCTGATTCCAAAACCTAGAACAGACCTTTCTGATTGATAATTGGCGTCCAATTTGCCTTCTTAACAATGACTATAAAATACTAGCTCCAATTTTTACAGAATGGTTGAAACGTGTTCTTAGAGTTATAATTGATCTAAAAACATTGTCAGGTCCGCTGGATGTTCAAAAAACAACAAGAACAAAATTGTAGAAACGTTTCGTCTTTCATCCGAAACACTTCTTCAGCCTCCCCCTCCTTCTCCCTCACAAGCAGCCCCCCCACTGCTGCAGTTCACACACAATTACTAACACAGTGAAGGCGGTGCAGCTGGGGAGGATTATTGTTTAATATGTTTTTTAAAAAAAAGGTCTAAAAACAAACTTTAATATATGTAAATAGTTCATTTTTTAGACATTTATAGCTGTTAATAAATGCACCTGTGTGACAACTGGGACAAAGCTTTGACTCAGAAATATATTTTTGTTATTATTTTATGGAAAGAAAAAAATATTGAGATATATATCGTATATCGCCATTTTTCTTAAAATATCGAGATATTATTTTTGGTTCATATCGCCCAGCCCTAGTTGCTAGTGAGCGTTTTTTTCCACCACTGGAGATAATGTCACTGCAACTAGATCTATGATTTTTGGTAGAAAATGTGGACAAGTTGGTCTTTTTGTCCAAAAACTTCAAACTTGATTAGTTAGATTGTAAACAGTCTGTTGCTGCTTATTTTTATTATTGTTAGTGTTGTTTATTTATTGTAAAGAGTGCCATTTATTTTAAATATCATCCAAATGGGTCGCTTTTACTTATTTTTATACAAACGTATTTTTTTTACTTGGCATATTTTCAAAATAAATGTTTTGTAAGTCTTTATTGTGGCCTTTTTTGCACCGAAAATTAACTGAACCGAGCCCTTCCTGAAACTGAACTGAACCGAAATGTGATTTTAGCGTACGGTTACACATATATATTATAGTGAGAAAAAAGTATTTGAACACCTTGCAAGTTCTCCCACTTATAAATCATGGAGGGGTCTGAAATTTTAATCTTAGGTGCATGTCTACTGTGAGAGACATAATCTAAAAAAAAATTTTTTTTAATCCGGAAATCACAATGCATGATTTTTTAAAATAATTTATTTGTGTGTTACTGCTGCAAATAAGTATTTGAACACCTGCCAATCAGCAACAATTCTGGCCCTCAAAGACCTGTTAGTCCACCTCTAAAAAGTCCACCTCCACTTCTTATTCTAAATTAGAAGCACCTGTTTGAGGTTGTTAGCTGCATAAAGACACCTGTCCACCCCACACGATCAGTAAGACTCCAACTACTAACATGGCTAAGACCAAAGAGCTGTCCAAAGACACCAGAGACAAAATTGTAGACCTTCACAAGCCTGGAAAGGGCTACGGGGCAATTGGCAAGCAGCTTGGTGAAAAAAGATCAACTGTTTGAGCAATTATTAGAAAATGGAAGAAGCTAAACATGACTGTCAATCTCCCTCAGACTGGGGCTCCATGCAAGATCTCACCTCGTGGCGTAGTGATTGTGAACAACAGATGGTGTAATCCTGGACATGTTACTGTGAAGTGTCGTCTCTGCAGTCCAGATATTGAACTGTTGGCACTAAGTTGTCGTCCATATTATTTGCCAAGAGAGTTCACCAGTGTTATTTTGGCAACTGTTTACATTCCACCCGATGCTGTTGTCGAGACTGCGTGTGATGTCATCAGCTCCGAGGTTGCTAAGCTACAGACACAACACCCTAGTGCGTTTGTTGCAATATCTGGGGATTTTAATCATGCCTCTCTCTCTGCTACACTTCCGACATTCCAACAGTTCGTCAGTTGCTCTACCAGAGAAAACAAAATGCTGGACTTGTTTTATGCAAATGTCAAGGATTCATACATTGCTAAAGCAAGACCCTCTCTTGGCAAATCAGATCACAATCTTATGTTTCTCTGCTCAAAATATAAACCCCTTGTTCAGAGGCAACCTGCAATAAAGAAAACAGTGAGAAAATGGTCAGCAGATGCTGAAGAAGCCCTGCAGGGTTGTTTTGAGGCTACAGACTGGGATGCACTGTGCCAGCCACATGGAGAGGACATCAATGCCATGACTGAGTGTGTGACCGACTATATAAACTTCTGTGTAAACAACACCATCCCCACCAGAACAGTGAGATGCTTCCCCACTAACAAACCCTGGATCACCACTGACCTGAAGGAACTGCTAAACCAGAAAAAAAAAGCCTAAGGAGAGGATGACCGGGGCCATGTATTGTGAGATTTTGGGAAACAACCTCCTTTCCTCAGTTAGAACATTGAAGATGGGTCGTGGCTGGTTCTTCCAACATGACCATGACCTGAAGCACACAGCCAGGAGAACCAAGGAGTGGCTCTGTAAGAAGCATATCAAGGTTCTGGAGTGGACTAGCCAGTCTCCAGACCTAAAACCTATTGACAATCTTTGGAGGGAGCTCAAACTTTGTGTTTGTCAGCGACAGCCCAGAAACCTGCTGATCTAGAGAAGATCTGTGGAGGAATGGTCCAAAATCTCTGCTGCAGTGTGTGCACACCTGGAGAAACACTACAGGAAACATTTGACCTCTGTAACTGCAAACAAAGGCTACTGTACCAAATATTAACATTGATTTTCACAGGTGTTCAAATACTTATTTGCAGCAGTAACACACAAATAAATTATTGAAAAAATCATACATTGTGATTTCTGGATTTTTATTTTTAGATTATGTCTCTCACAGTGGACATGCACCTAAGATGAAAATTTCAGACCCTCCACGATTTCTAAGTGGGAGAACTTGCAAAGTCGCAGGGTGTTCAAATACTTATTTTCCTCAATGTATGTATGTGTGTGTATATATTTATTTTTTTTTAACTGCAACATTGTCTGACTAGAACTATCAATTTGTTTTGCCCCCCCCCCCCGTACTGAACATATTCCATAACACAAGTTAATATTTTGGATATTGCGTTCTACATTTGTAGCAGTTGTTCTATTCAATCATTTATTTCTTCAGGACGGCCTGCACACATGCACGACAAGTCTAATCCAGACTGGGCTCCTACACTGAAGTTGGGAGGCAGACTTACTCGGAGCAAGTCGGCAAAGGAACGTCAACGACCGGAGTCGAAGCAGAACAGGTAGAAAAGTTAATGACACATGCAAGCTGCACAATAATTCTAAAATATTAAAGTAAGTCTATGATAAAAATTACTAAAATTAAAATAAAATTTAATGTATATATATTTGGAATAGTAAAAATGTTGGTAGCTAATCTGTTTATTCTGCTTTGGGTAGCAAACTTGGAGTCTGATTTTAGACTGTGATGCAAACATGACAGTGTTGGCTAACATTTGTTTTGTTGTTTTTTTTAAGGTACAGACGAGCGAAGGACCGAGCTCAATCCAAAAAGAAGCTCCGGGGTTCTAAAGACGTCCTAGACCCGGGTACAATCTTGGATCCTGAGGTTTGGGCTGCTCCAGTAGATGCACATGAAGATGAGGAATCCGTTCAAGTTTGCGACCTGGTGCTGCAGCAAGAGGACGATGATCATGCAGAACCTGCTCCTGTTTCTGAAAGTCAGGCTGATTCTGAACTGCAGAGATTAAGAACAGAACAGATTCTGTTAAAAGATCAGATAAATGATTTGAAGTTCAATGAAAGAAGCTTTGAGAATAATAACCTTAAAGTCACGTACTACACTGGCCTTCCATCATTCCTCATGTTGATGACTGTATTTGATCTGGTGAAGTCGTTCATACCTGCGTCTAAAGTAAATAGTGATTTAGGTCCATTTGAATGCTTCGTGATGACTCTAATGCGTCTTAAGCTAAACCTTCCTGTGCAAGATTTAGCTTTTCGATTCCAAACATCTACCTCAACTGTCTCCAGGACATTTGTGATTGTCATCCATGTTTTATATACACGTCTAAAGAATCTGCTGTACTGGCCTGAGCGGGATGTATTGATGAAAACTATGCCCCTGAAATTTCAAAAACATTTTGGACAAAAAACAGCTGTTATAGTTGACTGCTTTGAAGTGTTTATCGAAAGGCCTAAAAACGTGTTGGCACATGCACAGACGTGGTTAAACTATAAGCGTTCTAACTCGGTGAAGTTCTTAATGGGTATCACCCCGCAGGGTTCAGTGTGTTTTCTGTCCAAATCATGGGGCGACAGGGCAAGTGACAAGTGTATAATTGAAAACTGTGGTTTGCTGTTGAAACTACTTCCAGGTGACCTCATTCTAGCAGATCATGGTTTCAACATACAGGATAGTGTGGAATCATACTGTGCACAGGTCAACATTCCAAGTTTCAGCAGCGGTAAAGCACAACTATCTGCAGTCGACGTGGAAACCACAAGGAAGGTTGCACACGTTCGTACACATGTTGAACGGCTCAGTGGACTTGTGAGAAACAAATACACGATGCTTCAAGCACGTCTGCCAGTAGACTACCTAATCAAACATGACGGCTTGCCAGTGGTGGACAAAATTGTGACTGTCGCATGTGCACTTACCAACTTGTGTGACTCTGTAGTCTCACTGATTTGAGCAAAAAGTGGGAATTGACTCTACTGAGTAATGTTTGCATTAGTGCAAATTATGACATAAGAATGTGAAGAAACAATCCACATCTCTGGAAGACCAGATCACCAAAGTTGTTACATGTTCTGCTGCGTAAGATGTGTGTAAATGTGTTTGTGTTTATTCTGTTCCCCAATTTTTTATAAGTTGCATGTAGAAGTCATTTTGATTAAAAGGTATATGAGAAATAATTCTGAAATTTCAACAGTTTTGAATTCCTAATTAGAGGCTTTTACTTTGAATATTATCAGTCCCACCACTGAACAGGAACTCTACACCAACTAACATATTTCATGTTTTATACATGTCATTAAAACATCCTGAGTTTGTAAGTTGTCCAAGAACAATCACTACACTTAGGTTTCATTTATGTGCAGTAGAATAACGCCTAGTAGAGGGGACAGTACAATGAAACAAATTCTCATTACAGTAGTCCCTCACTACTTTGCAGTTTGTTTTTTCACGAACTCGCTCTATCATTTTTCAAAGTAAGATTGGAAAAAGCCAATGGCTGATTGATGGATGGGCCACACGACTGGTATGGATTTTTTATTTAAAATAAATTATTTAAAATGATTTAGCATCTGTGTGCAGCCCACAGCTGTTGGAGAAGCTTCCTCCAGCAGCTGATCTTGTGCTGAGCGAAGAAGTGGGTGTGAACGAATATATATATATATATATATATATATAAAATAAAAACCTTCTAGCAGAACGCCCTCGAACTCAGGAGTTGCGTTGGCTGAACTGGTAACAAAAACAAACAACAAAACAGTTCTTTGAAACAAGACAAGTCTTTATAGTGATTTGTTGGAGGTGGATGTTCATGATATGGTGACAACACCACCACCTAGTGGCAGAACATTCACCAACAGTGTTGTGAGTTTTGATTTTTCAGTCCATTACCTTAAACTTTTTAACACATTTTCTGTGATATAAAGTAATTAATGTTTACTTTCAATTACACACACACGATGTTTAAGCTTTAAAAATAAAAATGACATTAAACTAGATAAATTTGTGTTTATAAATATAAATATTCTGCAATTTGCCATTTGCATTATTAAATAGTGAAAATAAACATGAGATGCACAAATCCAAAACTTTGGTCCTGCAGAGTAAATGATAAACATAAGATCAACAGTAAACGGCTAACATTTATCAGCTGTGTTCTGTTCTAGACACTTTGCATCAACTTTTCATGAAACTGTTTTAATTTGTTACGATAATAGAAGAAAAGTCTAAAGTCTTTGAAATGCTTTCTTTCGTGAAAGGTTTATAGCAACTCTTTGTTTACAACTTCACGAGAGACTTTTTGAACATTCAAAAGTAATGCAATGAAAAATTTAAATACTTTAAACCGATGCAGTTTTATGTCTTAAATACTGAATGTTGTTTCCCATGGATTAAAGAGGAAATAAGTGAGCCAAAGCAATCTGTATGAGCTGTTGGTGCATTTACATTTTGTACGAATTAAAGATTTATTCAAAATAAATATATGTGGTTAAACTCAAACTGTCCACCAACCAATCAACAAAGAACTCCAGGTATCCCTCGTTTGGTATCATTGGCCTCGGTTTGCCAATTTCAGCCTTGATCCCAACAAGAACTGCTGTGTCCCCCTGGGAGGACAAACAGAAGACAACTTTAAATGCTACTAAAACAGTAATGTTTAGATAACCTTGGATGTACAGGTACATTGTATGTGTAGGGTGAAATGAAGTTTACAGCTCTCCTGTTTACATTAAGGATACATGATGGAGCTAAAACTCTGCTGATTTTATTACCAGTGGCTTTAGCTGATCCGTCTGTGTTGGACACCACATCTGTCTCTATTTCCATGTGTCTGTAGTCCTCACAGCCTCTTCCATCCACCCGCAAATCATCCTGATCAGATAACCAAACATCAGAAGTTAGCTCGAGTTAGCTTAAAGCTAGCTTCGTTTTAACGTCTGTCGCAATAATTTTATTTCATAATAACATCTGTCACAATAATCTCACTCCACTACTAAGTTAAAAGCTACAATTTCACCCTTATGCCGTGTAAGATGTAGACTTTCCTTGCTTCGCTCACTTGTACCGTTGCCATACTGTCAAAAACGTTGGTTACGTACTGTAACCCCAGATTCTATGAATATAAGCGTAGCCCTTTAAGGCCTTCGCTTTAGTGGGTTTATCCCGTTATGCAGAGCATAAGCACTGAAAAAAAAATTAGTCCACGCCCACCTGCTGTGTGGGCCCTACCCGGTCCGTATAAATTACGTTAAGAGCGGGAAATCGGCTCCCAAAATAGCTTTTTTCTTCAGCCATTTAGGAGCCAGTGAGGCCCGACGCTTAAAGGGCTACGCTTATATTCATAGAATCTGGGGTTACAGTACGTAACCAACGTTCTATGTCATATAAGCTTCGCCCTTTAAGGCCTTCGCTTTAGTGGGTAAAGGGCGAAGCCGATGTGGTCCTCGCCTCACTGGGTCCATTCGAACACAGTAAGAAGCGGAAGCTTGCCCAAAAAACGTCTTGTCACTCAGCTCCCCATGTGCATAACTACGCATCGCGTAATTATGTGCCATGCACAGACGCATGTTGTGTAGCTATGCGTTCTGACAAAGCATGAATACCCCGGAAAACTTTCAACGGGAAGAAGAAGTTGAAAAGAGGGGGGGGGGTGGGGGGCATGAACCAACTGGTTCATGGCTGAACAGTATAAACAGATTAATGTCCATAAATTGATTATAAATCAATTGAACTGATTGGTAACAATAATCATGAACTGATTAGTGACAATATAACCAAAATCACAGACACGACTTGTGACTGATAACAACATCTCACACTGTAATGCATGCAGACAGAAGTGAGCTTAAACAGAGTTCCATGAGAACAACAATATTCATTCTGTTAGAGCACTAAGGACAGAATGTGTCATGGAACGAGCCGTTACATCACGTAGGTAAAAGCGAATAAATGAGCAGGGTGTTGACCATGCAGCCGCAGTGCAGATGTCCTGCATTGACATACCATTATGCAGAGCAGTCGAAGATGCGATACCCCTGGTCGAGTGTGCTTAGAGGTTGACAGGAGGCTCTAAATCTGATGCTCTGTAGGCTTCAGAAAAGGCCTCACACAGCCAGTGTGACAAGCGCTGGATGGATAACGGCGACCTGTAGAAGCATCTCTATAATGCACAAACCATTGTTGAGTTTGAAACGCATTGCAGCTGTGTGCGTTATGTAACACGTCAACGCCCGCACCGGGCAGAGAAGATGAAAAGATGCTTCCTCTTCTGATCTGTGGGGGGGAAAAGACCCCTCCAACGATATCACTCTTGATTTAAAAGAGCTCGTGATGTTTTAGGCATAAAAGCTGGGTTGGTCTTAAATCAGCTGAGCTGCCCGTCAGCCTAATTCTAAGGCATGACGAAGCAACAGAGAGGGCAGATAATTACTTACCCTCTTAGCGGGTGTTAAAACCAGCAACAGGGCTGTTAAAAGAGACAAGAATTTAAATGAAACCTGATCCAGAGGCTCAATTGAAGCTTTGATCAGGGCTCGCAGGACCAGCGTTAAACCCACTGTGGAAAACAAGTGGGCGTGAAAAACAGGCCTACATCTCTGTACACCTTTTAGAAACCGCTTCATCAGCGGGTGATAAAAGCTGTTCTGTCTCCAAACCCTTTGTGGCAGGAAGAGATGGCTGCAATCGTACGTTAAAGCGTACTGAAAGCCAACTCCCTATCCATCAGCTGTTGTAGAAAAACAACACGCCGCTTAAAAGGCATGAGGTGGTCTCTAAACCTTCTCTGTGCACCAGCGCTGAAAAGCCGTCCCCTTGATGTGTACAGAACTGTGGTAGATGCAGCACGTGAATCTTGAATTGTGCACACTATCTCCTGAGGGAGACCCATCCTCTAAGTGGAACCGCTCAGCGGTCAGACCCACCGGTGTTGACCTATTTCTGGGTAACTCTTGGTCGCTCCTCCTGCCTGAAGGAGAGCATCCTTTCTCCATGACAGTTCCACGGCGACCCAACAACAGACGTTGCAGGCCTGGGAACCATAGTGCGTTCACACGCCGGGAGCCACCAAGGAGGGCTGTCAATCCCTCCTCTTGAACTCGGTTCATGGACCGTAAAAAAACAGAGGAGGTGGGGGGGAAAGAAACGCGTAAAAAGCGTTTTGGGCCACCGACTGTGAGCAAATGCGTCCCCCCCCAGCGATGGATCGTCTCGCGGGCTCAGGGAAAACCGTAGTTGACATTGAGCGTTCTTCTCGCATCGCAAACAGGTCCACAGCTGCTTTGCCAACTTCTGCTGCGTCTGAAAAACATCAGATCCGGATGGAGGATCCGGTCCACGTAACGTGGGCCGCCCTTGGACGTCACATCAGAACACCGGATATGTAAACCGCTCTAATAAAAGCAGGTTTTGATGAACCCAACTCAGTAGCTTTCGCACAATGTGTAACATCTGGCTGAACGCACACCCTGATGGTTATGTATGCAGCAGTCATCATGATGTCTGTGTGAATCAACACGTGTTGATTCTGTAGCACAGGAGCAAGGTGTTGAATCACATTCAGTACTGTGCGACACTCCAAAACATTGATGTGGGCTGATGTGTAGTGGGGCCACAGCGCCCCTACTGCTTGAGATAGGTATGTCCCCCCCCCAGCCTGACAGCAACGTGTCCGTGAAGACTGACCCATGACGTGGGTCTGCTGAGGGGGACTCCCTCTGATAGAAAAACAAGGTGTTTCCCCAGAGTCGGAGGTCTGCTTCCACAGAGGAAAAGACAATGATCATCCGTCGTTGTTTTACTGGATCCACATGCAGACGTGCAAAAACACCTCTAGAGGCGTCTCATGTGATAAATGAGTTTTCATGGTGGTTGAATTTAATTCCACTCCAGAAAAACAAATGTCTGGGCCGGGAAAATCGAGCTTCCTTCCACTTATGGCGAAGCCCAGATTAACAGGTGTGATGTCAACACCTGATCCTGCATCAGCGCCTCCTGTCTGAAGTGACAGGATCCGCAGATCATCCAGGTAAAAACAAAAAACTCTCGTCTCTGTGTTTTAGGATGATCGGTATGCGTTCTCTGGATGTTAAACAACAGATCCAAGAACGGTCTCACCCCTCCGATCCGTGAGTAAAAACCCTCGTGTTTTCTCTCCCTTGGGGAACTCTGTAGATTACTTTTATCAGAAAACACTTGGATTTCTGCATTTAGGGAAGAGAATCAGTCTGATGATGATGACGGGACCGTTTATATAACTCCTCTGAATGGAGGGGTTCGGGTTGCAAACTGTAACTTGTACCATTTGCATAAACCCTGTCCATCCATCTGAAAAACGGCGAGCATGTTTTGCCACTCTACGTAACGTTCGTGGATGAACGTGCGTTAATGATGCGTCATGTTTTGTACGGCTGTCAGCAGTCCGTCCCTCAACCGCCGTCATGCGTCGCGGGAATGTTTTCTGTGTGACCCCGGGCGAGACTTGAGCTGAAGGCGAAGCGTGTGACAGCTAATGACGCGGTGGGGCTGCGCGTTTGACGTCGCTGTGCGAACGTTGAAAGGCGGAGGGCGTGACTTCATTTACACCGTGCTGTTGGAGTGAAGGCTGCTTAGCCCCGCGGGAGCACACGTTGTTCTCTGGAGGGACGCGCGCCGCTCTCGCTGGAGGGGCGCGCGCTAGAGGGAGGTGGGACTCATTACCGGATTCTTCGGCTGCTTCACGTTTAAGCTGCGGTGAGCTGCCGAAAGCTGAGAGAGAAGGACCCCCACCCGGACCAGCCTGCGGACCACATTCATACCGATGTGAGCTGGTTAGCGCCGGCAGCTGTGTGTGTGCGCCAGCATCAACGCAGCGCCGTTGGATGGAGGCTGTCCATCTTAGTGATCGACTCGTCATGTCAGAGCGGCGGTGAGTTAAAAACCTGTTTAAGGACACCGGCTCATGTGGAGGCTGTTCCATCCCACGAGTGCGAGTTGACACCGCTTGAGTGAGGATCGTGCAGTTCTAGTTGGTAATGAGTTATTTTCGCTTACCGTTGTGCCGTGATCGACTCGTCATGTCTAGAGCGACGGTGAGTTTAAAAACCTTTAATTAAGGACACCGGCTCATGTGTGGAGGCTGTTCTGTGATCGACTCGTCATGTCTTAGAGCGACGGTGAGTTAAAAAACCTTTATTTAAGGACACCGGCTCGTGTGTGGGGCTGTTTCATCCCACGGGTACGAGTTGACATCACTTGGGTGAAAAACGTGCAGCCCGGGATTATAACGAGTTATTTTCACTTACCATCGTGCCCTGTAAGCGATTAATAATGTCTTGGAGCGGCGGTGAGTTTAAAAAGCCTTATAAAGGACACCGGCTCTTATGTGTGCGGCCGCTGTGAGCTCATCCGGGCTTACAGACTGGCTAAAAAACAGACACTTGATCATTAATGATGATTTATTTCAACTTTCGTGTCACTTTTACACACACCCTCCGGAGACCGTCATTTTGAGAGCTTTCTCTCTCATGAGCTCTGCGATTGTTTGCCCAGAGCGCTGTCTTGCAGGCGAACTCTGGGGAAAACGCTGAGCTGCAGGCTACCGGAGTGCAGAGGGCTGGATTCTGACGGGCGGGGCTGGTGGTGGAACTCAGCGAGAGCCGCGGCCGTGGAAAAGTCGAAGCTTGCTCGCGACGGTCCCTCCAGCGGGACAGGGTGGGCCGCGCGGCTTGATGAGGTGGTGCACAGCCTCTGGCACCTCCTCCGACTGTTTCACTTCGCCAGCATGGTTTGAAGCTGCTCTGAACAGCGCGTCCGCGATGTTTCATCAGGTCTTGTGCAGATTCTCCGGCAGCGAGGGGAGTAACGAAGCCAGGTGGGTCGTTGGGTCGTCGTCCTCCGCGCTGCAGTCCTCGACAGGCAAACCGTGGGAGAGGCACACATGTTGAGCTGGCGTCAGCTGCCTGACAGAGGGAGTTCTTTGTCTCCAAGGCAGGTCTGCGGCCTTCAATCCCTTGGACATGCTATGTGCTAGCAGCGCGCGTTGTTGCTAACTGCGGCTGCCTGAAAAACACATTGGTGGG